TTTTTTTTTTTATTTTTTTTATTTTTTTTTATTTTTTTAAAACTCATGTTATGTTTTGTAAACTTGAATTCTTGCCACGTTACATAAATATGAATCTAATTTCTTATATATAGATAATTAATCCTTAAAAGTTTCTAGTTGATGATACATTTTGGATGCTCATAAATACAACTCATGTATAAGGAAAAAAACAATACATATATTAACCTTGTTGAAAGTACTGCTTAATAAAATATTAATCCATATAAAATGTATTTTTAAATATAAATAACGTAATTTAAGTTAAAACTACTGAATTCCATGAAGCTACGTAAACAAAGCTATAACTCCACTTTTGCAGCATAATCAGATTAAATTAATAGGTGTAGTGAATTGGATATGTACTAAACAAATCGAAGCAGGGGCGGAGCTACCCTTGCCCGAGGGGTGTCGCTACACCCCTTCATCGGAAAATTACGTTGTATAGGTAAGTCAAATTCTGATTTTATACCTATATATATTAGAATTGACACTCCTAAACCAAGTTGAAGTGTTGGTTCAGCGGTTCAGGGGCTACAAAGTTCCGCCTTGTGATTGACCTAGGCGTTGGGAGTTCTAACCTTGCTGAAGTCTATTTTTTTTTTAAAGGCTTTCAGCGGTTTTTTTTAACTTTTTAGACAATTGTAACTTTTTTGTCTTTAGTTTTTAGACAGCTGAACGTTTTTTTTCCTCCAATTTTTAAACCATTGACTTAAATTAAGTTTACTTTAATATTTTATTTTTTTAAAAGAAATAAAATACACTTTAGAAAAAGATGTATTTATTAATATTTCTAATGCTACTATTGTAAAAACATTTCAAGAGATGAAATTGCGTCGAGTACGGTTGTAATAATGTAATTATGTTTTGCTTTTATTAGTAAAATTTATTTTGTTGAATTTTTGTGTGCATACTACTTTATATTTTGACACCCCTCAATCTAAATCCTGGCTCCGCCACTTTATCGAAGAGATAATTAATATAGTATACTAGCTAGAAGGAACCAACTATGTAGTTTAATTTTGTTTGGTAGAGTAATATTGTGAACAACTCCATAGTTATCTAAAAGTAGAATATATTGCAACATTATATGCTCAACTGACTGTCCCATATCTTTGTCACGTTTTATTATCTCATTATTTGCCTTCAACTAGGTAGTTGATAAGAATGGAAAATTTGGCTGCTTTTTTTCTTGACTATAGTTTTCCTCTTCTTCTATAATATCCACTATTTTATGCCGATCCATATTTCCTATAATGCTCGATTATAAAATTTGTTAAAGTTTAAACGGAAAAGAATTAAAAGGGTCAAAATATATTTAAACCATGTGAAATTATATAAAAATGTCCTCGCGCGGTAAATATTTTGATTCAAAATGTTTCTGCCGTCAACTGTCAAGATCTTGATCCGTAAATATTCCTATAGTTAATACTATGATTAAAAAAAATACTCCTAATGATACTTTTGAGTCAAGATCAAATAATGATGAAATTTAAATTTGATCTAAAAATAATTCAAATCACCTTCAACTGATCCCAAACCCAAATCACAAATTTTCAACCAACCAACAAGACTTTTTTTAAGAAAGGGAATTCTTTTTTTGGCTGAAGGTAAAGATTTGGATAAGGGGAGATTGATGGTTTATCTTGAAATATATGATTGAAAATAATAATAATTTATTTCATGTAGTTAGAGGAGAAAATAGTTTACCATGGTGAACAAGAATTGGGGATCGGATGCGGGCGAAATTTCCGTCATGAGATGTTCAGTCGACTCCCTCCCCTTTGTGGGGGTTCCGACCCCTACGAGTGAGCAGAAAAGGGAGGAGGAAAGAGGCCCTGGTGAATCGTCATAATTAGTGAACAAGTGTAAGCTTCGCTGTCCGACAGTATGGAGTACTGACCACACCGAGGGACAGGCCCTGAAGCGAACCTAATTTAATTAATTAAATAGGTTAGAGCCATTAAATTATTAAAAGGATACATATCAAAATTTCGGGGCCCTGCTTGAAAAATGAAGAGATTTAAGTTTTTCCGGGGTGAGTATATATAATGTATATTTTTTGTTTTTTTATTGGATAAACTACCTTATTAGACATACATCACTACTATATATACTAATATTATCTTTACTTTCAAACAATTACATATATTACCACTTATAATATTTTATACCATATATTAATATATTATTTGAAGATATAATTAGATTATTAGATACCCACATATCTTAAAACTAGGATTGATTAATTATCTGCTTAATTAACTCTTTCACTCCAAATCAATCACTATCTCTTAATTCTCCCCTCCCATATTTATCACTCAATTATGTGTCCTCCTTTATGATTCAAGAATTTCATCGTACAATTTCATTCCAACAATAGCTAATCTACTCTCTGTTTCTCAAGATATCATCACCATGGCCGACAAATTCTCTTGAACCCAAATATTATTATGTATTGTTCATTTATAACTAGATCAAATCAAAGTAACTGCTACAGAGAAAACTTTAATTCAGAGTGGGTCTTGATTGTTTGTCTCCGGAAGAAATGGATCTTAGTTTTGATTATGTTATACCACAACGCAAAAGGATCAAAGGGAGTATTGTAGAGAGCTTTTGTTTGTTGGTGTTCTTCTAAGGCTTTCTTTGGTTACCGGACATGGATTTGGCAGTACCAATATTACTTTGATATAGTCCTTGAAACATGTGTATCCAATCAGTAGTAATCTTAATTAAGATCTGAGTTGTATTTTTAGTAATGTGGTGTCTGACCATGTATATGTACCATTAAATTTTGGATACATGATTTTTAACAACACGATGATATTAATGATACGACAGATACTCTACAGTCGTTATTTGTTCCTAAATTCATGTGTTTCAGCTACATTTCATATTTAGATACACATAATTAAATGTATATGCTTATTATATATTCGAGATACATGTTTTTGGATATAACATATGCAATTGATACTTGATACATCAAATTAATATTAGATACATATAAAAGATACATGAAATTAATATTATATATATATATATATA